GATACAATTAATCAACAGATATTCGACATTTAGGCTTTGCTACACAGTTTAAAACTTTACGAATTCGCCTCTGGAGAAGAATAGTGGGTGGGTTAGTGTTAGCTTGTAACTATATTAAGTCTAATGCTAAAGTAACTTTGAGAAGAAAATTCGAAGACTTTTTGAGTAATTCGTATAACACGGCTTCGAGAGCGCACAGAAATGCCGCTAACGAACATCAAACAGGTCACAATAGGATAAATACTGTGAAAGGAAATCCAAGGCTGACCATGTTAGGAGGCATGACTCTCCCTGACGGTGCGCTCACGTTATTAGAATTGGGACCGAGTTTCTCACCATCTGAACCCATTTCTAAGGTAATTTTGCGTAGGGTGGCAAGTAGTTTACATGAACTTCAAGATAGACTCCGCAAAAAAGCTAGAGATGAAGCGATAAATAGGTGCGAACAACACCAAGTGGGGCTACTGCCAATAGTGCCATTTCCTCAGCCGTTCTTTAAACAATAAGAGCCCAATAATAAAGTTGATGTCAAATTTCGGATGTTTGCGAATGAAACTCTCAAAGTCCTTAATCAGTATCGCGCGAAAAGATACAGCTCCAACCTCACTCCAGTGCAAAAACGTGGTATGCGAGAGGTACGAGACCTGATAAGGTTGAAAACCATAAGACTTTCCGTTAGTGATAAGGGTGGAGAGTTTGTCGTAATTCCTCATCAGTTAGATGTGGAGATAGCGAAAACCATCTTGAAGATGCTTCGCTTTATCGCCCATCATCTGAGGAAGAATTCAAAAGTAAATACCGAAAACTAAACCACGAATGGCAGCCCAACAGCGCGTGCTTGATGGAGTCCTTCGACGTTACCGCCCTTTATACAAACGTGTCGAATGACTCCGCAATGCAAGCCATATTCTAACTCCTCACACAACACGAAGGAGAAATAAACATGTATGGCTTCAGGATAGAGCACCTGATGGCACTCTTAAAAGAATGCTTAAGCTGCTCAATCTTCAGATGGTCTGGAAAGTACTACGCTCAAATAAGAGGGTTGGCAATGGGACAACGACTGGCACAAGTACCGCCATTGCGTTTATATCTAAGGTGGAAGCACCTATGACTGATCTCGGGGCACTGTTCTACTATAGATATAAATGATTGTTTTGTCCTTGGCTCAACGCAAGAGGAAACGGACAAATGCTTCGAGTTGTTGAGTAAACAGTCAAAGTATATCAAGTTCACCCGAAAGAAACCGAGAGAAAAATGGCTTCCATTCCTGAACGTTCAAATTAACCCGTCAGAAAGTGGCTACGTTACAAAGTGGTACCGAAAGCCAACTAGTAAAAAGATTTTGGTTCACCACCTCTCCTTTCACCTCTCTCACACGAAAAGGGCGCTTGCAAGAAACATGTTTCGAACAGTAAGCAACGTGTGAACGGGAAGAGAGCAGAGAGAGGAGTCCCGGAACTTGGCACGGCAAATAGCCATTTCTAATGGCTACGAAACTGTAGCTCGGGATAGTTGTAGGGAAAATCCTAAAACCCCAAACGACAATTCTAGCGATGGAAAGGTCCCGATTATTCTACCGTTCATCACAAATGATGGAGGTGGAGCTATAAAACGCTGCTTGAGAAGGTCGGGTTTAGAGAGTTCGGTAAACGTAGTTGTAATGCCACTTGGGCGCCATCTAGTTCTTAACCGCCTATATGACCGTCTTTGTGCGGCGCAAAATTGCATAATTTGCCCTAATAGTATAGACGGTGATTGCATGAGCTCAGGTATAGTTTATCGGATCTCCTGTAAGGCGTGCGGAGACGAATACATTGGCGAAGCGGGCAGACCCCTCTGTGTCCGCATAAAAGACACCTATTCGGCAAACATAAGCCAGATACCCCACTAGGCACGCATTGGACCCAAAGACGTAATGGAGAGGACGGAAGGACTTTGAAGTACGTGTCACGATCCTAGCACAGTAATCGAAAACATAAGCGCGCAAAACTCTAGAGGTATTCTGGATTAATTCCAAGAATCCGAAAATGAACTGCAAGGAGGAATGCCGCATTATCACGCGTGATATTGGGCAGTATATAAGCCTGTCATTCTGATGGGAGCCCCACATTACGCTTCCATGTTATTTCTGTGCGGTTGATCTTCAAGCGACATACTCAGTGGGAGCCTCATAGGAAGCGATGAGTGTGCAAAGCTCTGTGTTCAGTGTGATTGAAATCTTGGTTTAGCGTTTTCATTGGTTATGGAGGTATTTGGCCGAATAGGTTGCTGTTCGCTTGACCTTTCCAGACTCTGAGGGAGGCAAAATCCACCGAAACGTCAGCTTATTCGTGAATAAAGGATAAAAATAACCTCGCGTTTGCTCAATAGGAATACGAACAATTTACAAGTCCACTTATAACCAATGTTAGCCCTTTATTTTCTGCCTACTATAATTTTACCTCCAGGATACAGCGTGTATTGCGCGAGCTCCCGGAAAGGGATATTGTGGTTTGATCTGGCCCAGGGTCCAAGTTTTGCCAATATCTCAGCATAGTTGTGATTGGAACTCATTTATAACCACCATATCCAGACACAGATATGTAATGATTAATGTTACCATAACTTTAAATCAAAGCTTCTCACGAGTGAACAAAGTTGTATTAACATGCAACAAATCAACAACATAAATGTCTACTAAGTACTGTTTCGTGATGAATCATAAGTGACATGCAGTAAGTTGACTTCAAAAAGATGGAAGGCAAAATGCTGGTGAGCAAGAAGCCAGTTTGTACAACAAAAAAGCAAACAGCACGATCCATGTAAAGAAACTGAAGTTTGATACCCCAAACGCGGTAGATATCAATAGAAGTAATATAAGCAGTGAAAATCCTTCGAGTTAGTATTTGACACAAACAAGACAGCAACCGGCACAGATCAGCTAGGTCAACTTCCTCACTGAAATTGAAAGCTTTCTTGACACATGCAATGCGCAAATGTGCAAAGCCATTCCTATCTTTTTCCGCCATTTCTTTCTTTCCTTTCCTATCTTGTCCTTTCCCTTTATTTCCTCTAGTGCTTGAACTTGTTATTCAGTAAGCCTCAGTGAGGCAGTTGCGGTCTAAAGTGGAAAAGCACAAAATATTGATAATGTACAATAGCGGACGACTCGTTCACGTGAGAAGCAACAGTCCGTATATCTCCCTTGAGCTTTTATGTCAATAAAAAGAATGAGGTATTGCAAGCGGTAGTGACAGGGTACACTACACCTTCCATGGTTGCCTCAGGTTTAAAATGTTCCATGAGGATACACAGATAAAATTCAACACTTACGGCATGACGTAGATTGATTTCCACTTAAAGCCCAAAAACAACTGCACCCGTCAAATTTGAACAGGAATAGCTCATAATTAACTTTATTAATCGAAGTATTACCTTGTTCGAAAATTGATTCGCGATTTATAATTTCAATTTTCGTGTGTATGTTTTAGCAATAACTTTGTATTGAATTCTGTATGCATCAAATCAATCTAAGGCTCGATTTATGGGTTTTCGCTCTGAATAATTAGATTGTAATATGAACCACATAGGACGCGTGTGGTGCAGTGCATGGAGGCGCCACTGCGACACACACGTGGAACTGATCCCCGTACCCATAGCACACCAAATCTTTCATCCCTTCCGTGCCGACAAATTGGTGTCAGACTTGTCTGGGAGGATAGCAGCACTGGCTCGATACATCAGTAGGCCACCGCGAGATTTCAAGAAAACTAGTTCTACGAATTGAAAATCAACACAGTGCCGCGCAAACGGCTCCAAATATTGAGGCATTGAATTAAGGAAAGGTTTGTGAATACACAATGGTTTAGAGTGGTTGATTTTTCACTGCGAGTTCGGCATTGCAAATGAAGAAAGTGTGATGACTTCTTGCTCCTCTGATACTGGACCGCTACTTACTCTGTGCCACACTTGTTAACCTTGTTACTATAGTCGCTTGTATTGCATAGATGTTGTCGTACAACTATTATTGTAATTCGTATGTAATGCTGAGATATTTGCAAAACTCCGGACCGCAGGTGTATGCGGTGGGGAACGAAAACGAGCTGTTGACCTTACCGGGGAGCAGCGCACTTCACCACCACACCATACGGAAAAAGGCAGTAAATAAAAGGGTAAAGATTGTGATTATAACTAAGCCTCATCTTAACTGGATTCAATGCCGATTTGGGCTCCCCAGATCGATCCCGTTGACGGGTGATTGCTGATTGCAAAAAGATCGATAGAACTAGCTGAGAGACAGGCAAAACGAAGGACCCGGATGGTGTGGCGGTGAAGTGCGCTGCTCCCCGGTAAGGACAACAGCGCGTGTTCGTTCCCCACCGCATACACCTGCGGTCCGGGGTTTTGCAAATATCTCAGCAATACATGCAAGTTATATTTCGCAACATACCCTGCCATTAAAAAGAAAAAGGCGGTAAATAAAAGGGTTAAGATTATTATTGTAATGTTGTTATTACTGTTTATAAAGGCTTAATTATCCAAGTGTGAGATCTGACTTCGCGGCACCAGCAAAGTTTCGCGTGGCAAGCTCATAGAAAGGCAGGCAACCTATTTCGACCACGTGACTCTGGAAGCTAACCCGGAAATTATATTTGTGGTGCAATAACTTTCATTACAATTATTGGTGCACTGGCTTCACTTCTACAAATTATAAATGACAACAGCAATAAATTGGTCAATCTATTTCTATGCTACTAATCTGCAGAATGATCTATGACTACAAATAACTTCGTTGAAAATCATGGCTTCTCACCGCTTCTAACACATAAAAGTGTCTTCCACTTGACGTCGTATTGGCTAGATTGCCATATAAGACCTTTCTAAACAACTTGTTTATTTTTAAAGACTAAATTAGCATAAGGAAACAAAACAAGGCAAAAATTTTACACCTGGAAAGGTAATCAATATCACAGTTTCTCAACCATTTAAGACGATGAGAAAAGTGAGAGGAGATGAACTTAGATTACGCAAATATTCATAGGTGAATTATCAATAGTAATCGTGTGCACAGACATTTCGAAAGAACCACAGCCGGAGACATAGGTTCGGATCTGATCAACAGTGACGTCTTCTCGCAGCCAGGCATATAAAAAGCCGCCACCTCCAGCTCCAGCCAGCCATGCTGTCTCAATCAGATTCTCCCTAAATAGCGTAAAAAATAGGTAAATATTACTACCAAATATCAATAATAATATGCCAGTTATTATATTATTATAGGAGGTGGAAAGCATAGCGGTTGCGATGCCGATCATCACGATCACGGTTCTGGTTCTATTTCGTTCTGGCTCACCAAGCCTCTCATTCCTCCAGGATCGGGAAAATGGTGTTAGACATATCTAGAAAAAAATTCTTGGCAATCCAAGTGGAAATATTTAGCCCGGCTATCTCAGGACTCCACGGAGAATTGACTCGACCAGCATTCTACGATATTCAGAATAAAATGAAAAACACTCAAGCAACAGCCGAAGCCGCACGTAAAAGCTGGAAGATTTTCGTGGATGATGGATTCTATGAAACGAATCAAATGGAGCTGGGATCGCCCAGTTGGTGTGAAGGACGGGCTGCATAGCAAAAAAATTATACGCCCATAAAGAGGCCTTCGACATCATGAAGCTATGGCCAAATATCTAATCTTCAATTTCGAAAAGATAACTGTTGCTTCACTTTAAAGAACCGAAATTAGTATTCTCTAGAATTTAGGATGTCCTCCTCCTATATATCATTTATTCACCACATTTCCTTGTAGGCGACGATAATCATCAGCTAGGAGCCAATTTTAAACATAATGTGATGGCACCGCTTATTCGAAGTCCACTCTTCAACCAAAGTCAAATCTTTCAAGTTAACAATTGCAGTGGTTAATTTATGTCCTTTTATTTAGACTATTATTGGCTTATAACACTGTTAACCGGAAAGTATAAAAGTTTTGAAGAACTCGTGATGTGGAGAAGAAACTGAATAGACTGACGTTTTCAGGCGAGAGATTAGTGACGTCACGGTTTCTGGCTCACATCCAGTCGCAAGCGCTTTCTTTGCTTGATAATAAAGACCAATCAGATCACAGGGCATGCGTCCTAAAACATTTTGCTTTTAGTAAGAGCAAACGCATAGGATCATAACAATAATGGGTTCATACGTTTAAGTAGCAATGTGATACACTTATGGAAGTATGAAGAGGTATGGACTTCATAATAATAAAGATAATAACGACAATAATGGTTAATTTAAGATTGCTGGAAGGAAAACTCTAAAGAAACTTGTGTTTATCTAGAAAAGGCCACCATTAGTTCTTTTTCCTGATATTTTGAAGCGTCCCAGATGACTATGCCAAGTTATTTGTGCGATACGACGTCAATTCTATTAATGAGCCTTCGAAAGAATGCTTTTTCCTACTGCACCGAGATAGGACAACACTCAATCCTTATTTTAGAACTATTTCAGATGTAATGAGAATAACTGCACCCTGAGGATAGGCATGAAGACATGAAGCTACGCCAGAACCGTAGATAAGCGGTTTTTCAGCCCTACTACTTTGAATTAAATGGAATAGTGTTCTTGAAAATAGCGGCAATTATCTTCTCTGTTTAACAAACCTTCTCTTAAAGCATCAGAAAAAAGTTCCATATTATTCTCAAGAGAAGCAATAACGTCTCGAGTTGGACCTCCGGAATACCAACCACGAATTACTTCCTGAAACTGCTTTCGCTTGTAAACTTAAAAAGGAATTTCTCGCTTTTAACCAAGTTATTCGAATTACATCTAAATAATAGCTGATTGCCTATTCTCATAATGTAGCGCCAAGATACTCATAAAACCTGGAACTCAGACTAGATTTAAATTATCACGATTTCGCTTTCCGGGGCTCACGTAGAACCCATTGCTGAGGCAATTGAGTTGCCTTTCTCTCAACCAGTTTTCTACCTAACGATGCCATCAGTAATCACCCGTTAACAAGAATAATCTTGGGAGCACAAATCGGCATAAAACCCACCAGTTAAGCTGCGGATGCATTGGAAATCGCAGTGTTTAACTTTTTATTTACTGCATTTACTTTTTCACTGCCAGTTATGATGTGAAATACGACCATTACGATGACGATATATTTGAAAAGTCTGATCCTTAGGCCAGATTCGAACCCGCGATAACCCTTTCTGGGAGATTACGTGTTACTCTCTGCAACGCTGAGGCTCTTGCTTTGTCCTTCTAAGCCTCAGCTTAGTTGGATTCAAAGCCAATTTTTGCGCACAAGATTGTTTCCGCTGAGGGAGAAAGGGTAATCGTCGGTTCTAATCTCGTCTTGGGTCCATGTTTTGCAAATATATCACCATCATCATGGTTATATTTCACAACATACTCCGCCATGAAAAAAGTAGTAGGCAAATATACGAAGTAAATATACGAAGTATATAATACGAAGAAGAAGATCAAATGATTTTCTTCGTATTTTTGTTGAGCAAACGCGAGGTGTTACTATTCTTTGTTCACGATTAAGCTGACGTTTCGGCGGATTTCGCCTTCTTCAGAGCCGCTTTCTATGAGGTTTCCACTAAGTATGTCACGTAGAGACCATCCGCACAGAAATCACGTGGAAGTATAATGACATTTTACTCTGCGGCTCTGAAGAAGGCGAAATCCGCCGAAACGTCAGCTTAATCGTGAACAAGGAATAGTAACACCTCGCGTTTGCTCAACAAAAATACGAAGAAAATCACTTGATCAATGCCGAGGTTAATAGAGAGTCGGTCGTGGCAATACGATCAAATTTATCTATCAATATTGCTGTTAATATTGTTTGTGAATAGAAATAATTATCACTACTACTAGTATCCTTCCCAATGGTTTACCTCCTCATCGCTGCTGGGAGGTTCTCATGGGTGTCGGGCCGAGATGTAGAGCACGGTGATTCATCCTCCCGGCAGGGGAGTCTCCCAAGTTGAGGAGTGCGGCGTTCCCATGATGAAACCCCATTAAGAGCCAGTATCAAGATTCACCACCGTTCCGGTATCAAACTAGTCGCGTGGTGACAAATCTCTCTCTGATCCACAAAACGGCGACTGTCTATGGTGGTAACGACCTGGAGAAGATCTTTGCTTGGCTTACCTCGGAACTCCAGGAAACTACGATGGCTAAACGAGCAAAACTCCGAAAAAATGGAAATTATGTAAGGCCCGCATAACCAGTGAAGACGGGCCATTCAAGTACCCAACTAAGTAGTATTACTAGTATTTGAGGTGTGCATAACACAGTGACTAGTGGTGCCCCGCAGTACACATGTGGTCGCTGGTACGACCCCACGTACCGGAACACTTAGCTCATTTTTCCGAGATCGGTGAATGGTACCAGACTTGTCTGACAGAAGGCCGGCAGCTGTCTGCGGTGAAGACCTAGGTGTGCTCTAGTTAAGCCATTCAGGATTCCAGGGTAGAGTTAATGGGTAGTGTCTCTTCGTTATCGTACGCAATCTAACCTTGCATGATTAACTATTCAGTAGATGATTAATAACTTAGTGTTTGTGCGATATAAGCATAAACAGCCGCTATGGTTATTCCAGATATGGAAAGCTTAAAATGGACCTCAAATCCTAACATCCTCTCCTACTTGCTCCATACAACGCCGTCGTTCTAAGATTCCTATAGGGTCAGGAGAATGAGGCCGATTTTTTTCACTGCTTTCGGCGACTAATACCTACAGGAGTTTCCCGAACCATACTCATGGGTAGCATGGCGATTTCTTTTTGAATAAGCGAAAAGCCCATAAGTTAGACTCGACTCTTCCACATAATTTTCATTCACTTGGTTGCAGGCCTTTAGCTGGACTGACATTTTGCACACATAAAGTATATATCAACCTGAAACAACAGAGAACTAGAGTTCATTTCTTAAATCTACCTGAATAACAGGCAAGCACAATGTCGTTGTCAACTCGTGTATAACCACTCAACACCACCTCGTTTGTACTATGATAATAGGAGCAATATTAATATTAATACCAGTATTAACATTAATATTAGTAATAGTCTAAGCCAACAAATAACCTGAAGGAGGTTCTTTGCTAATCTCGTCTTCCCAGTATAAATTAAGACCATACGTCGATTGATATCGTCCTCGAAGCGCTGACTGATTGGGATCTGTTCCACACCAATGCTACTTTCTTCTTCAGAGAAATAGCCTTAAACAACAAAGTACATAGGAAGCGAACAGCTACAAAACGGCAATAGACTACCAAAAATCTCAAGGCTATAGGCAGAGCAGTTATAATATCCTTCACTTCTAACATAAAGACGTTTGTTTAGCACAAAAACCATAAGATGTATTTTGTACAATCATTTGATGCGGTGACTTCCAAGTTTAAAACAAGTTATCACGGTGCATTCCAAAACTTATCAGTCACAGTGAAAACCATCAGAGGCCAAAGATCTTTGCCAAGCAAAATTTCTCTAATTTTACCAAGATGAAATTCTGACTTTCTGGAACTTACGATATATATATATATATATATGTGCATATTTGGATACTTGGATGGCACGTCTTCAGTGGTTGTGTGGACGCCGGCATAATTTCCATTATCCGGAGAGTTTCTGGTTTAGTCATTGTGGTTCACCCGAGTCCCAACGAGAGCCTGGCAAAAGTCTGACCCATATATATATATGCATATGTATATCTACCATTTTATTGCCTCAAAGTTCATATGTCGACATCAAAAGCATGTGAATAGACGATATCTCATCCAACAGGATACGATGCTTCTCCTCAGCTTATCGTTCATGTTTGGTTTTCATTTCTGAGCTAGAAATTTTAGCAGTTTGAATTTCGTCTTACAATTCCTTAAAAAATTTAGTTCCAAATATGCTTAAATTTGAGGTTATTATGTGTAAAAATATACATTCATATAACCCTATATCTCTTTAGGTATGGGTAATGCTCGTCAAGCCAATTTCGGCTCAAGTTGAGATCCTTTGAGGACCACACTGTTTAGTCAACGCATCCTTTTAACGACCATGCGTGTTACTTTGCACACCATAATCCAGACCACACCAATATATATTCAGTTAATAATATAGAGCGAAGTCGCTTCTACAAATATATGAAGTTACCAATTCCTCAAATACTAAAGTGATTGAAAAACTATAGACAATTATCGAAAAGTAAGCTATGGGCATTATGTGTTGAATATGCTCCACGACGTTGTTGAGAGGCTTCTGGATTGAAAGCGGTAGATTGAACAAACTTAGAGCACTAACCTTTTTTTATTCCGGGATAAAGGCAACCCACTTGATCCTGCCATCCTCCACCAGTTGTCAATAGTTGTTCTACCATTAGCACCTGAATATTATTGACCAAACGGTTAGAAAACCTTCGACTGGTAAGATTTAGGAAGCACCACCAGCACTGGAAACGAGTACTACCCAATGTAATAATGCTTTCAGAATTGTCGTTTGTTCGGCCATGCTCGCAGTGAAACCGAGACTTTTGTAGTCTCACGGTCAGATTCTGCTAATAAACATGTGGACAAGGGATAAAGCATCACCCTGTCCACCATCTGACCAGGAGAGTGTTCCGCCTTTCGGTGACGAAAATGCGTTGTAATTTACGTTCGATGGCATGAAAAATTAAACATTGAACCAATAGGGGACAATCATGTAGTCCTCACTATTCTCCACATCTTCTGACCTACCAAAAAGAAAACAGCTGGCAAAATACGGATACACACCACATTAATTAGCACGAAATGAATTATCCCACTCTCCCATTAGTTGAATCTTTTCACTTAAACCTATTCATATTATTACCAGTGGTGCCATTTTAATGTAGTAATGTTACTCAATGGTCAATCAAAGAAGGAGCAAAAAGTCTAATAACACGGCCTCTCACTTACAGCATGACAAACGTTCTTCTCAGAGTGATTGACACCAGCGGTCAGCCAAAGTGCACGGATGACAGCGGCAGCAAGAATCGACGATGTGCCGAGGCCTTACTAACAATTTCCATATAGCGCAATTTAAGAAGTGGTTACAATGCAGTACCTGACCCATGTGGTAAAGAGGAGTGACATTCGATCTGCAGACCAGTGCTGGAGAAACTACTTTGTAAAACTTCGGAAAGATTGTCGTCAGGTCCCCTTGGTATTCCAACACACACAAGGCAGGCACATAGCAGTGCTCCTTAATAACAGGAACCCATTACTGTTGATTAAAAAAGTATCGAAATCTACTAAAGATTTAGACGAAATAGTCTATTAAGGCCTCTTTCTTAAAATGTTTTATAAACTCTGCCAAGTTATTGAATGCTAGTCCAGTCAATTCTCCCTGGAAATCCTGTGGCGTAGCCGTTCTAGGGCATTCCAGGGTGGGTTGCAGGACACTCCATGGTCCCGGACAAGTCTAGTAGAAGCATGGTCTTGTAAATTAAAGAAAATACGCAACAATAACTATCCTTAATTGCCTTTACTTCTTTGTCATCCCAAATCTCCACACATTTTGTCAAATACTGTCTCTCACGACCGAGTAAAAAATTTGGATCCTAGGCTTAAGATGCATACCTGGATTACCGGGCTTGTTGTGTGAATCCAATATAGAACGCGAAGTTTCGAACAAGATTGTAGTCTCTTCACTTTTCACGGTGATGCCCGGAATACAGCAACGGCTAACTTGACAAGTTACTGGCTTCTATAAAAATGTCACTCCACAATGCTTCATAAAAAATGCAATATACAAGTCAAGAAAGAAACTGTTGTTCTTCATATAGTATATTCAAAAATATCACAAGAACAAGAGCAATTGATGATAATATGGAGATCTAACAGCCTCGTAACAGATAATAATTCCGAAAAGTATGGTGACGAAAGCTTTCACCATGTCGTTGACGAGAATCGCCATGTTCACTACCGCAGACGGTTTCGCGCGCAGGGTGATCGGCGGAGTGTCCAACCAACCACCGAATAGATCTACCTGAAGGACACCGTCGTTTTGCTCCTGATTTTTACATTAGTCACAGCCAAAAATAATTACAATCTACCACTTGTTCATGAATTTAGCACATAACTAATTTCAAATTTATGCTGAGAAGCAGAAGCGAAAAGCAAAGAAAGCGTGTTGTTTCGAGCAATGTGAGCTAAGTGCTCCTAGTTTCAACTTACTGATCGACTTTATTGGTTTATTTTGGTGACTACTTAAACACAAAATGACCACTAAAGAAAAAATTTCTTAGACTACGATGAATCTTCTGAACAAACATAAAGAAATCACCCTAGCTGCAGCTTCCACAATGACGGATTTCGAACGCATGCGATCGATTCCTACCGGGATGCAAGGGATATGCTAAAAATGTTTGTTTAATCTTAACCATTTTATTTACTGCCTTTTTCTTTTTAATGGCAGGGTATGTTGCGAAATATAACTCGTATGTAATGCTGATTGTGATTATAACTAAGCCTTAGCTTAACTGGGTTCAATGCCGATTTGGGCTCCCCAGATCAATCCCGTTGACGGGTGATTGCTGATGGCAAAAAGAGATAGAAACTAGCTGAGACACAGGCAAAACGAAGGACCCGGATGGTGTGGTGGTGAAGTGCGCTGCTCCCCGGTAAGGACAATAGCGCGTGTTCGTTCCCCACTGCATACACCTGCGGTCCGGAGTTTTGCAAATATCTCAGCATTACATACGAATGCTTGTTTAGTTAAGTGTGAAGGATCGAAGCAGTGCTCGAGGTGAGACCAGCATCAGTGAATGAGTTGTGTGTGTTTGTTGTGTGTATGTGTATATATATATGTGTATGTGTATGTGCGTATCTTGCACGCATATTGTATGTCTCTATGTATGTTTATAGGTGGTGTACGTGTGACTAAGAACTAATCTTACATCCCCAACTTTTCAAAGGGTTGAATTCCAAGGTCAGCAAGCTGACATTCGCTTCAACTTGCACCTATAAATTAGAGAGCGTGTTTTTTGCTATAGGCCATCTAGCCAGCTTCACACTAAGGTACTGACACTTCTTGAATTAAAATCTACCTTTTCAAGGCAAGATGTTTTAGTATTAAGAGTCCAATCCACAATTCACTCGGCAACTTCTGATTCTATGAGATGAGCATACCATTACAAAAGACTTTATAATCTAAAGAAGCCTTGCTAATTAAAAGCAAGAAAAGGGATTTCATCGAACGTAGCGTGCTTTATTTCAAAAAATCCTTAACACGACCCTTGTCTGGTGAATAGTTGTCGAGACAATTAAATTCAGCAAAGGACACCCACTCGCTGACAGATTCTTTCCACTTCCAACCGAGTGTAGATTTGGGCTGCAGCTTCAAGATGTCGAGCTTAATAAGTGTTTTCGAGTATCTTTATCTATAAAAAAATCTGTAACTAATTTTTTAAATGGCTTGCACCACATTCATTGTCGATTACGAATAACCATGAGTTGTTACTTAATTACAGTTATATAGAAGATAGGCATTTTCAATGGGAAACTACAAACTAAAGTTTAAATGAGACAACACATGAAGAGAAACTCTTTGGAAACCCAGATGATAGAGATTGGATGAGAGGATGAACATAAAACTCAAGGTCACGGTGATGTGGCTGAAGTGATTTCATGCAATCTGGGCTTCGCGAGAACAACCGAATTACAGTATGATTGACGGGTACTTGCTGATGGCAAAAGATCGATAGAACTAGCTGAGAGACAGGCGAAACGAAGAACCCGCATGATGTGGTGGTGGTGAACGCGTTACTCCCCAGAAAGGACAATAGCGCATTTGTTCCCCACCGCAGACACCTGCGGTACGAAGTTTTGCAAATATCTCAGCATTATAATAGTTATAATTTGCAAAATACCCTGCCGTTAAAAAAAAGAATAGGCAGTAAATAAAAATGGTTAAAAACGAATTACAAATAGGGCAGCTGTATATATGTCCTTACGAACTGCCTTCCTTTTAGCTGACGCGAGGTTGGTATAGATGTTCTCATTGTTGTTGCCGTTCCTCAATAGCTCCCGTTTCGGTGGCTTCGCCTTCTTCAGAGCCTGGACGTATATGTAACGGTAGCCCCACAATGTTGATGCACATCCCTATGGGTGGGTCTCACTCACAATCCCTTTTTAACAACATACGTGATCCAATGGCACAGTGATTGTTCATTGAGAATTGGCGCCTTTTCATATACTGGATCTTCATTAATACTATGGGGTTCACCGCATTATGGGGAGACTGTCACATCTGATACGTCCAGACTCTTAGGAAGGGGAAGTTGCCAAAACGTCAGCCGACGAACAACGACCACAACAACAACAACAACAACAATACGAACATCTATACCAACCTCGCGTCAGCTAAAAAAAAGTAGTTCGTAAGAACATATATACAGATATATACATACCTCATATCCATAAAACGAAAGTTCTCCAACCGATTATTCACAAGATTATGTGGCTCCTCTACATGCAACGGATAAGGAGTTAGCGGCGATCAATGCACAAAAATTAAAACTCATGCAACTGCCGACGTGTTCCACGTGCGAAGAATTTTTCCCCACCTTTACTCATTCACTCATATTCACGCGTATGTGCTAGTCCTTACGGCTTTTGCGGAGGTATTATATTCTAGCGTATCCTGTACACGAACTTACCAAACGTGATATAGGCTTACTGCCAACAAATAAACACAATTTAAAACATGTGCTCAACACCTTCGCTGAACCAAGAGAGATCAGAAAAGGAGAGAATTACTTCTGATCTTACTACCTGCTCTAATCATCTCGGTTTCACTACGCAACCATTGCTCTTTCACTATACGAAACAATTCGCGAACTTGTTCGCCATTTGGTTCCTGAAAGTATCTGCAGCACAGCTCACAACTAAACAGAATAAGATAACTTCCAAAAATGTGTCATACCGCCGCTATTTGATCGAAAACGTAAGTAAAGGCAGGATTTGCGGCAGGGCCACTTCGTAGACCTCCCCTTCCTTGCGCAGCCAACGCCAAATACTCAGCGGCAAGCATCAGTGCGCGTGAACATCGAGGGACGCTCTGCATGCACACTGAGAAATACTTAGAATCCACTGAAGTAGAATGTAGCCACTAGTTATCATTACCTATTTCAAATTATTTTAAGACACCATTTATAATGAGATGATGCAGAGTTGATGATTTATTCCTCTACTTCTCAGGTCACCTAATCTGAGGAACCTGATATTTATATTGCCTGAAAGCACGAAACAAAATAAACGAATATCAAGAATTCCCGTAATCATCAGAGATACATAGTCACTGGCTGACATGTCTTCTCCTTATACGACATCGGACCCGCCAACTAATTACTGTCCAGGAAACTCCCTGGAAAGTTTTCCAGGATTCCAGCGGAACACCTTGTCAAACCTCAACGCATCAGGTGGAAACATGCTGCGGAGTAGTAGGTTCAATAATGGGGGTTTTACAACATGACATCCAAACATGTAGATCAGTCGGATTCTAGACTTGTGGACACACCAATACCAATAAAGTTGGGATTTGGAAAAATATGGTGTGGAAACAGCAAAAACGCGCAAGTCAATTGCACCAGGAGCATTTTGTGTAAATATTTAGATAAAAATAGAAATTCTATAATAAAACTTCTGTAAAATACGAACATGACTCGATTTCACTTAATATGTCCAATTTGACACCATAGTACTTCACCAACGCCATGAGCGTCATCAGAATAATGGTTGAATGTTGTCCACCATCTTGGGCGATCATTTTCAACATAAGACGAAGGGTTGTACCGTGAAGAATATCTCTACAAGAAAATAAACCTCATTTGTCGAATTCTAGGCTTTCGAAGCTAGGAATGATTGCTTACACCATCACTTGCTTCGTTATCCTAGTTTGCACCTTTTTAATCCCACTAAGGTACTCATATTCAGTAAGCGGAAGACAGTCTGCAAATAGACCATTAAGCGTTGCGCATTCTTATTTTCATTCCAAAAATGAAAAAAAAACAATTTAGTTATCTGTATTTGGACTATTTAGAGCAAGTAATACTACAATTCCTCTCAACGGTTTACCGCCTCATGGTGGCGGATTCCTGCGTGTCGGGCTACAATGTACAGCGGGTAGATTCATCCCTCCGGTAGCACGAATCGTTGTGCTTTTGAAAATTCTTACTCACAAGGTAAACCCTCTTTCGCTCACGAAGAGTTCACAATGCCTGTGATGAACCTCTTAAAATGACCTAGCACCACTAACTCGGCATGCCGGAGAAAACCACCATTAAAATCATGCAACATGTTGGTGGTGAGAAGAGGAGACGAACCTAAAATTAAACGAGCAAAACTGAGGAAAAGTGGAGATTATGCTGAGGTCCACACAACCAATAAGGAAGGGCCATCCAAGTACCCAAGTAAGTAAGAATATCGAAAAGGTCACACTCACACGCTCGACATGTCACAGTGTTGAAACGCTTCCAGATTTCTCTTCGCGATTGTTCGAGAAGAAAACGATCGTTGTCTGATTTTTCCGTAACTGCAAGGCTGGAGACAAACTGGTCTTCTGATTTGCATGTCGCCAGTATCACGTCGAAGAACAGCGACAGCTTAATCCTATAGCTGGTTGACAATGATTTCTTAGTTCGTTACACCTTACACAAAACTCGCACTAAACTAATAATAGATAGATACTCATACTACTCAGAAATCTCACTGAGTACTTCCTTTCCTATGTGAGCTTATTTCCGAGTTATAGTGCTTTTGAATGCGAGAAAATAAGAAGGGTGATAAGAAATTAGCAAGTGTTCTCAATATTTGCACTGTTGCCACCTCAAAAGTCTTTCGACAAGCATTTCACTAAAAGAGTGGGTACGTGGAAATTTTATAGAAGGGGAAATAGCAACTTGTTGGCTTCTCGCTGATCCACGTTAGATCAAGGACGAATAACCAGGAGCAAAACTTTTATCTCCATTTGTCAACTATACAGTGGTACTTTCTAAAAAAAGGAGACATTACAGAAAACATGTACCTAATTGTCAGCTACAACTGAGTATAGCAACCTATTCAGTTCTCCTTCATCTTCAAAGTGGGAAAACTGCTGAAAATGACTATGGAAGCAACTTCTAAGGCCAATTTTTCATTCTGCACTGATAAGAAAATTATGGTGTGGTTAATGCCCTTTGTTTGACTATTGCGCTTTTGCTGACATTCTCTCAATTCTGACGAGTTTTTCGCTCTTAAAAAGAGAAATCTTCGTGCTTGCTTACAAACAATGTAGGAATCTGTCTAAAAAAAGTATTCTACAGCTGGGCTAACTATGCCGACGATTCAACACAAACACAGAGCTGGTTCGACTACGACTATCTCACCTTCAAACCAAGAGCGCCGCTGTCGATACCATAGTAGGTGGATCGAGATATGGGATAAACAGAATGTAGGGCCAGGAAGCGGATCGACACCGCCGGCGGTAGGTACGCGAGGCCCAGCACAACGCTAGGACTGTCGACGCACGGGGCGCAACGATAGCTCAACGACCTAACACGGTTCTAAATACAAGCAGTACAATCCTTGAGAACTACGGTGCTTGGTATCATTTGCTAGATATTCTTAAGATACAAATGATTTACTGCGCTAATACCATAGGATCGAGCTAAAAAAGTTTTGGAACAAAAATCATGCAAAAAATAGAGATCGCACACCATTTCTATTGAAAAGCCTTCACTTCAAACTTCAAAGATCTATTTTTCCTCCCTTCTTTGGTCGAATATCAAGAATAGGAATCAAAGGAATTACATTAGTCAGGATGATTTTTGTATAAGATCTATTAACGAAAGCAGCAAGGCTATTTGATACTGGTAGAGGAGAATAAAGGTTTGCAGAACGAAATCGCCTCATTGGAGCCAATCTGCTATCCCTTAAATGGATGAACATAATTAAGAAGTACTATATAAATCATGCCTTCCAACGGTTTACCGCCTTATCCTGGCTACGAGGTGTTCCTGGATGTCGGGCTGCGATGTACAGTGGAGCTTCATCCCCTGGCGAGGTCTCGAAGGAGTCCGGCGCTTCTTCCATCAGGAAGCTTAGCGAAGAGTAAACTAATACCAGGATCCACCACCGTCTTGTTATGAAAGTCACGAGGTGGCAAATCTCCCTATGACCTACAAGAGCTGCGACTGCATGTGGTGGCGTAGACCTGGGGCGGACTTTGGCCAGACTGCCCTCTGGATTCGGGACAATGGCTTAACCAGCAAATTTCCGAAACATTGGGAACATGCCAGGTCCCGCACAACCAGTGAAGATGATCGGGTTAAGCATCAAGTAAGTAGTATAAAGATGAAGGATGAAGCTCTTGGCGTTGATCAATTCCTGAGGGATGCGCTATGCATTCTACTTTGTTGACCATCGTTTGGAGGTGATTGAATGCATATCTGGTCTTTACAATGACTAACGGTGGCCTACCGATGTATCGAGCCAGTGGTGCTATCCTACCAGACAAGTCTGCTACCAATTTGCCAACCCCAGAAGGATGGAAGGCTTGGTTGGCAATGGGCCCTGGGACCGATTCCACGTGTGTGTTGCAGTGCACCTCCGACCACTGCGCCACACTCGCCCCTAAGTAGTATATAACTCATGACATCAGAAAAACACGAAACAAAAGTTAGAGCTCGTAGAATTCAAAAAATAATTGTGGATCACTGTCAGAGTTTCCAGTATATATAACATAGTTCCCAATATCCCAAAATTATAAAGCGAAATAAATGCGTTTTGATTATATGTAAGCTCATCCTCATCTCAGATTGAATTCTTGATTTGAGATCAGTCTCGTTTACCATCCCAGGTGAACTTTATGCAGGTGATCTCAAATCATCTGCGAAATTAACGGGCTACAGAAAAGAAGAACTCTGTCAAAAACTCAACGTCGTAAAACAGACGTTGTATTGAGAGTTTTGTGCTCGTCTACGACGGGAGAAAGGCTACCACCAATGTTAAAATTAGTAATATCTAGCCTCGGCCTCGCAAAATATTTGCCTGCTTCTTGTAATGCAAGAGACAGGATTATTTATGAGTCTATTTTCACTTTTTAACCAAAAACAGAAAAAATTGTACATTTTTAAACGATCCATTGTTTTCAGAAAATCCGACCTGCACATCGAGCTCGTACACGCCGTGGGTATACGCGTGTTGAGGACGACCTTGAAAGTAGAATGCAGCCATCTCATCAGGGTCGAAGGCGAATTTCGGCAGGTCGGCTATCTTCCACAGTGCATCGGTACCTTAGTGGAGGTAAAATCTGAGAAAACCTACGGCATATCTTTAATTAATTCTTGCTCAATCAGTAACTGCTATAAACATTGTGAACATTGCGCATAGAAGTTACGCCATTTCCACTATCGGTATCCCTATAATACCAAGAGCATGAAAATAAAGAAAACAAAGGAAAAAGTTAAATTGCTGGTTACCGACCGCGATAGTACGAAACTGTCAGCGTTTTGAGTTTTTCTAGTTATCAGATCACTAACCACAAATCCACACCCCTTGCTCACTGTTGGTTGCCAAGCGATTAGCGTTTAGTATGGTATGGACAATTGGGTAGTCAGGCACAATCCACGGCGTTTCCAAGACTTCTAGAGTGGGTTTAAAAGCAGGTCCTAGTGGAAAGGATTCACTGCTGGCTCCCTGGAATAGAAACCTGTTTCTTATTGAAGTCCTATAGAGCAATGATGTCCTGCAGTGGTTATCGTCAGAAGAAACATTCACCCTGATTTGGACTGCTACTTCCAAATGCAAACTTCATCAAAATCATCAACAAATACTATTGCTTACGACATTTAAGATACTACAACCGTTCAATTGATCATTGTACCATAATACACGCGTCCGGAGAAACTAGACCACAGCTAAATTCAAACATGAGCGATGGGAAATATTAGAGTAGTGCAGCCATACTTATTCGTGCCAACATGATAGTTTCAGAAACAAACACAAGAAAACGAGTCGCTTATAGTTCCTACAAAATAGAGAACGCTATTTGAACAAAATGTAGAGTTCACGTACGTAGTATCGAGA